GAATTTTGTTACAGTCTACATTCCCATTCCACAAACAAAAAATATTCTGAACACTACAGGCTAACAACATATTGCCTTTTACTATGAAAAACAAAGTTTTACTTACCACTTGAATTACACCTCTGCGTCCTTAACTTGTATTTTTTCTGCTGCATGGAATGCCCTTCCTCTTTTTTGTCCATTTGCAAAATACCTCTCCCACCTTAAAGACTCTGGGTTTAAGACCTTTTTTGTCCCATAAAAGCTCATCACTCCTTTTGTCATTACTGTCCCTGCTGTTGGGGAGATGCCACATTAATGACAATTGTTTAAGTTTTCTGTTTTCTTACTAGATTGTGACCTGCTTAAAAGTAAAGGGTGTCATAAATACTTGTTTAGTGTGTAAATGAAAGGGGGCTTTCTGAAATGACCTGGCATTGCTTAATGAAAGCCTACTAAATTTTTAGGCTTAGTTTTATTGACTGGTAGCTAGCTGGCACTATCACTTCTGGCTCCTGTTACTTCTGGGTTATCACAGGACTCTGGTTAAAACCCACAATGATGTTTGAACATGATTTATTTAATGTAACTCTGTTATAGGAGTTCTTCAGTTGTGCCAAGCTTCGAGGAGACTCACTCAACTTAAAGTGTAAAGGTTCACATTTTTAAAAATAGAGTAATTATTCAGTTTCAGAAAAACTTGATTGCATGAATATCTTTAGTGTTTGGTTTTAGTGCGTTTTAAATTATTAAAAATAGGAGGAAGCATGATGTAATGGAAGCAGCAATATAGTGAAATTTGTATTTAGGGTTCCAGTTCTGACTCTTAATACCAACTCTGTGATTTAGGGGCAAGTTTGAAAACCTCTTTGAACTTTAGTTTACTTCTCTGTAAAAGTGTAGTTTGTATTACATGATATGAAGTAGTATACAACTTTAATATCTATTTTTAAAATGTGTTTATATAGAATTTTAAGAATGAAGTTTGTGGGGGAGGGACAAGTGTTTCAAATAAAGAAACCAGCTAAATTGGGTTGATTTGTTTAAGTTTTATAATATTTACCCAAGGTATTTGTATGTTTCTGTTGTTATTTTGGACTTTTTTTTTTTTTAAGATTTTTTTTAAATTCAGTTAGCCAGTTTATAGTACATCATTAGTTTCAGATGTAGTGTTCAGTAATTTATAGGTTGCTTATAACATCCAGTGCTCATCACATCACATGCCCTCCTTAATGCCCATTACCCAATTACCCTATTCCCCCCACCCACCTCCCCTCCAGCAACCCTCATTTTTTAAAGATTTATTTATTTTAGAGAGGTGGGGGGAGGGGCAAAGGGAGAGGGAGAGAGAATCCAAGCCGACTCCATGTTGAGTGCTGAGCCTGACACAGGGCTCGATCTCATGACGCTGAGATCACGACCTGAGATGAAACCAAGAGTCACCTGCTTAACTGACAGTGCCACCCACGCTTCCCTGTTTTGGACTTTTTTTTTTTTTTTTTAAGATTTTATTTACTTATTTGACAGAGAGACACAGCGAGAGAGGGAACACAAGCAGGGGGAGTGGGAGAGCGAGAAGCAGGCTTCCGGCAGAGCAGGGAACCTGATGCGGGACTCGATCTCAGGACCCCCCGGGATCATGACCTGAGCCAAAGGCAGACGCTTAACAACTGAGCCACCCAGGCGCCCCAGTTTTGGACTTTTTAAGTGATAATGTGAATCAGAAAGCAGTATAGTCCTAGGTAAAACATACGTACATGTTTATACATATGCAAGACAATGAATAATAAGGTAAGTACTAATGTTATCCCTAGTGTGGGGTTATATATGATGGATAAAATAAAGAGAATAAAATATTTTTCTATAAAGATAATAAAAACTAAAATAAAATGCCATTTCCTAAAGATTATGGCTTTGGAAGTAGATTATTATTTGATAAACAAGTAAGGAAAATGTATGGGGAGCTGCGGCCAACATGTCAAAGGCAGACTTTTTTCTGGTTCCTAGATCTACTTAAAACTCTTACCTATGGTGGAAAGCAGAAGACAGGATTGCTTAGTGATTGATGTTCATCTCTTTTTTAGTTATGATGGGGACAAGAGTTGTTTTTTTGTTTTTTTTTTTTTAAGAGAGAGTGTGTGAGCAGGGGGAGGGGCAGAGAGAGAGGGATAGAGAGAATCTCAAGCAGGGTCCATACTCAAGAGCCCAACCCCAGGCTCGATCTCACAACCCTGAGATCATGACTTGAGCCAAAATCAAGAGTCGGCTGCTTAACCATTGAGCCACCCAGGCACCCCAAGGGAACTTAACCAAGTTCTTAAAATGGGGTGTGTGGACAAGCTTTAGGGGAATCCATTGACCATTTAGAATTGTGTCAAAAACACTGTGTATGTCTATTCATGAATTTTATGTCTGTTACTCCAGTGACTGAGTTCATAGCTTTTAACAGATCTCTAAAGAGTTTGTGATCCAAAAAAGATTAAGAATCTCGGGGCGCCTGGGTGGCTCAGTCAGTTCAGCGTCTGCCTTTGGCTCAGGTCATGATCTCAGAGTCCTGGGATTGAGCGCCCTGCAATGGGCTCCCTGCTTGGTGGGAAGCCTGCTTCTCCCTCTCCCTTTACCTGCCTGTCTGCTTACTTGTGATCTCTCTCTCTCTCTGACAAATAAATAAAATCTTCTAAAAACAAAAAGATTAAAAACCCCATGGACAGTTCCTGTCTGTTTCTGCATAGAGTAAGGGGTTGTGGATTTTCAATCACAGATTACTGGAAGGACAGTGTTTATTCAGGTCTTGGAGTAATAAAAGAATGATTGCAGAGCTGTTGATTTTTCTCTAGGTTATACATTTCTGCCTTCTAACTATTCTTTCGTAACCTTTGATCTTGGTCTACTATTTTCATCCTTTGCTGCCAGACACCTCAAAATAGATCATATTCAGAGATTTTAATTTTTCCCCTAACGGCTATGTTTATTAAAGATATTTTCAGTTTTTTGTTGTCTTATCAAGGATTGGATTGCAGTATTACACTTGGATGATTTTTAACAGGTCTTGTTGCCTTTGAACAATTAGAGGTTTGTGTTTATAGGTAAAAAATTAGTAAGTTCCTCCTAGAATGAAGACACCATTCTTTTAATCCATAAGTCTTTTTTTTAAGATTTTATGTATTTATTTGACAGAGAGACAGCAAGAGAGGGAACACAAGCAGGGGGAGTGGGAGAGGGAGAAGCAGGCTTCCCGTTGAGCAGAGAGCCCAATATGGGGCTCGATCCCGGGACCCTGGGATCATGACCTGAGCCAAAGGCAGACACTTAACGATTGAGCCACCCAGGCACCCCAATCCATAAGTCTTTTTATGTGTACCTGGGACTTTGAGGATTTATATCCTGTTCAAGTCATCATTGATATTTTTTGTGTACCTAGGTGTGTAGACTTTTGACAGTTTTTTTCTAATTCCTTTTCGTCTTTCCTTTCTTTGGGAGGTGCGGGTTAGAAAGAATCTTGCAACTCTTTGCAGTTTAGCAGTTATCTGGGATTCCAGTTGATTATATCAGAAACACCTCATGTTTATATTTAAAACAGTATGTCTTTCTGTAAGGAACTTTATTATTTCCACACCAGCATCTCATTAGGTCTTCCTTCATTCCCAGGAGAAATTTTCTGAGTATTCAGTTGCATTGTGTAGGAAAAAGATGGAAGTACTGGTACTCTTACCCTTTAAAAACAAAACAAAACAGAAACACACAGAACTCAGGTTCTCTCTCAGCCTGTCTTCCACTTGGACTTAAATTTCAGTCAGTTTAAATATTAGGTTACATTGCATATTCTGAACCTTAGATATGAGGGAGCCTTTACTTTCAGTCATAGTTGTTGATTAAAGTTTTCTTAGCTTTGGAATTTCACAAATAATTTAAATATGTTCAACCCTTTTCCATTTAAGGTTTTTGGAATAAAATTTTTATACATTTCAGTTTATTTCAGTTAGAGTGAATTTTTTTTGGAGCTGTGGCATCCTGTTACTTGTTTGAATCTGGTACATCTTTGTACTCTTCCAAGGTATTGTGAAATATGTGTGTGATATTTTAGGTGAAGTTTTTAAAATTGTGCATCATATTTGGTGATAATTGGAAACTGGAGTGTGTGACAAGGGCATAGTTGAGAATAACCATTGTATAAAATATCTGTCTTTTCAAATTGATTTTTCACTTTTCTTGCCCAAAGGAAAAAAAAATTAGTAACACTATATGGTTTCCTCATGATAATGCTGATGTTTTAGAGAGAATAGTCCTGCTTTACTTATCTGAAGAATTGGGATTTAATATATATTTCACAAGGGTGTTTAAGAAATCAATAGGATAAAATATGTGAAATGCCGGGGCGCCTGGGTGGCTCAGTCGTTAAGCGTCTGCCTTCGGCTGAGGTCATGATCCCAGGGTCCTGGGATCGAGCCCCGCATCGGGCTCCCTGCTCTGTGGGAAGCCTATTTCTCCCTCTCCCACTCCCTCTGCTTGTGTTCCCTCTTTCGCTGTGTCTCTGTCAAATAAATAAATAAAATCTTTAAAAAAAAACAAAAACAAAAAAAAATATGTGAAATGCCTAACACAGGGACTGCACATAGTAGGTTCATTCCAACAAAGACTATATGTGACATAAGCATAATCATGCTTACAGGGAATTGAGGATCACTAGAGCAAGGAAAATTAATATGTGCCAACAAGTTCTGCCCTGGTCAGTTTTTAAAATCATTTAGGAGTAATGAACAATTCAGACAGGAGCATGTAGAGTGGAAATTTCACGAGAATGAAGTTTTGTCCTTACATTGGTTGTCTGGCAGCAGAATCAAATAAATAGGAAGAGACTGGCAAACGATAGCAAAATATTTTTTATCTTTGCAACTGCCCTCAGGATTGTCATTTTCATACCTCTACCTACATTAATTCACTCTGAGCTGTTTCTTTTGTTATGTGTGTAGATTTTTTTTTAATTACATCGTTCTAATGAGAGAAGTCAATTAACTCAGGAGGCGGCCTTAGTTTGTTTAACTTGGTAAGGAAGTTGAAGTCACCCTGTAACGAAGTTGAAGTCACCCACGAAGTATGCTTCTCTGCACCTGACATTCCTTCCCGGGGCGGGACTCCTCCCTGTGAATAAGAGGAAAGACTTGGCCAATTACCTTAGACAAAGCCGGACAGCTGCCGAGCCCAGCTGGGAGGAGTCTCCTCGGAGCTGAGCTGGTACAGTCACAGTCGGGGGCTTTTTGCCACCTCCTTTTATTCACACCATTTTACCCAGCAGATTACCTGAGGTGGAGGTTGAGAAGGGGGTGTCGCTCTTTGCAGGGGACCTCCTCCACTGGGAGGGCTTTAGGGTGGGAAGAATCGCAGTTCCCAGGTTTCTGCTTGAGGCTGATGCTTTCTAACCCCAGTGCGCCACTCCTCGCCCCACACAGACCAGAACATCAGGTTCGGTCCCCCGGAGTCTCAGGTGGCACCAGAGCGGCATCCTGGGCTGAGGATTTGGTGGAAAGAGAAGGGGTGGTCCTTCTGTCTGGACCCCTCTCGGCTGACTCACAGGAAGTGCTAACCGAGCTTGGCACTGGGCGAAGCAGCTCCAGGATTCTGCCCCTCCCTGCTGCGGGTCCGCCCGCCCTCTCCGACGTAGGCTTTGCAGTATCTCCCGATGGAACAATGAGGTGGTTCCAAGTTTGCTAAGACTCCCAGGGAAATTCTTTGGACTTCTGTGATAGTCTTCAAAATGTTTTGCCACCGACTTTTCCAAGAAGCTGTTTTTTAAAAATCAAACAAAAAAACCAAACCCTTCCCTTCGTGGATTGCTTTGTCTGAAGATTACTCAGGGTGACCATGGTTCAACGCTTTAGCCTCAGGAGGCAGCTATCCAAGGTGGGTAGCTTGGGTAGCTTTGTGTTTGTTTAGGGGAAACTCTCACTAGATTCGGCATGGTTTCCTTTTTCTCTAGAACTGTTCTGTCAAGCCTGCCTTCCTCCAGAGCTAAGGAGGGGCTGGGGGAGGAGGCGCTTCCTTTTGTTCTTTCCTCTGACAGACACAAAGGTTTCAGGCTGACTGCACTGGCAACTCCACATTTTGTTCCCCTAAAACCAAAGCTGTCATCTGTGAATTTGGAGAAAGTTATAGTTTGCTTCTGAAATACAGTTTCCAAGGGGGTGTGCGTGAAAGAGAATAGTGGGTAAAAAGTGCATTTTTAATTAGCAGTTAGTAGCAGCTTGTTGACCAAGATGAGAAAGCCTTATTGGTCTATGGAATCAGTGCTTTTGTACAAAATTTAGTATTAAACTGGGGAAAACTTCCGTAAAATAGTCCAATAAGCAAGACCTGCATAAAAATGTTAAAATGAGTGGTCGTGTTAAGAAATTCGCATAGTTAATGAAAGAGTGTGTGAAAAGCAGTAACCAGAAGGCTCACCAATCAATTTTTTACAGAGTTCTGTTTGAAAAGCAGGTTCTGTTTGTGCAGTTTTGAGGGAAAAGTTCTTTTAACCTAAGAAATTCAAACTTTAGAAAAAAAAAAAAGGCGAAGCTCTCCTGGAAGAGGGGCTGCTGATTTTCTGAATCAGCCCCGCCGTGGCTAGCCCTCTTTTGACCCAGTCGTCGAGCTCTCCGTTTAGCTGGTGCAGGAACTAGTTTGGAAAGAGGTATGCTGAGAGTTGAGCTTTATTTCAAAATCATTCTGTTCTTTAAAAAGCCTATTCTAAAAAGGTAGTAGTTGGTGGCTGAATTGTGTCACAGTTCATTCCCTGCAGGCAGAAATTTAAATAGTAAATCAGTAGGCATTCTTTACTTTCTTGGTTGTTAGTCAGAATTGTTAAATCCTGAAATGTGTTATTATCTTAAGGGAAACCTTTTAGTTTCTCACAGGCGACCTCAGTATAGAATATGTGCACTCAGGCAAAAATGAGCAAAGAAAGCTCTTGCATCCATCCACATGTCAAATTTCATCTCTTGGATCGCCAAGCCTAACAGGGACTTTTTAGAAGTAGTAAAATAAATTTCCTTTGCTTCTCTTCCCCCAATTCTAGCTACGTGTGTTGGGGGTAGTGGGCCAAGAAGTCCCCAAATTCTTCTAAGCAATTTAAAAAGAATAATTTTTGTTAATCTTTGAACAACCTCTGGTTTATAGATTTCCAAATATGTAGTACATTTAAAAAGCAGATATGTAGATTCTCAGGGCAGTAATTTTTTTGGACAAGAATGCCTGAAATAGTTCAGAGCCAGGTGATAATTTTCTAATTAGCAAATAACTTCATTCTAGGTACTTTGCTCCCAATGTTTCCCAATTATTTTTTGAACTTTTATGCTTTTGATACTATATGCCCTGCTGTGACTTATAGAAAAGACACTTCAGGGGAATTAGGAGCACATTTTCTCTCTAACATGAAGAAATAAAAGGTACATTATATAAAAACATTCAAAGAGGTAACCTCTTTGAATTCCCCCTTTTTTTTTTTATCACCCCTCCCCTCCATGTTAACATGGTTTCTAGGTCCTGTACTGAATGGTGAGGACCAAATCTAAGGAAATTTGTTTTCTATCAAATGTCCTTAATATAGTATACATCCATTAATGAATTGAAAAAATAATATTAATTGTTTCAATCTGTGTGGGTGCTGAAATATGAAAGAGAAATGAAGTTTTATCAATAACCTTTTTTAAATTTTAGTGGATGCCCTGTACCTCTGTTCTGTTTTTTCAGCTAAACCCGTATGTTACCTGAGATCACAGGACCTGTCTTAACCCAGTACGTGGTATTTCTGGCACACGTTGAACACTAAAAGTGAAATTAGGTTTTTGTAGGTCAAAAACAGTTGGCTAGAAACTGCATGCAATTTCATATGATTCCAACTTCAGTAACAAGTATTTTTGCCAATAAGAAATAATACTCCACAAGTATAGAATTGTCTTAAGATGATCTCATATTTTAAAAAGCAATTTCCTATTTTAACAAAAAGAATACTCATGTGATCATCTATAAATTCTGTTGGAAATTTTTTGAAAGAAAACATAAATGTTTGCAGTGATTTTATTTTATTTTTTTTTTAAAGATTTTATTTATTTATTTTGACACAGAGAGATAGACAGCGAGGGAGGGAGTATAAGCTGGGGGAGTAGGAGAGGGAGAAACAGGCTTCCAGCTGAGCCCAACACAGGGCTCCATCCCAGGACCCCGGGATCATGACCTGAGCCTAGGCAGACGCTTAACAACTGAGCCACCCAGGTGCTCCATGTTTGCAGTGATTTTAAACCTAGTTTCTAATTTAGATTCTTTTTATCTTGTTTGATAGCCATGTTTACTTACACTGGATATTTTCCCTAGAGTATTCAAATGATTCCTCTAGGCTAATGAATGTTCACATCTGAACTTGTAAAAGGAGGAAGGAAATTAAGAAATAGGTGAAATAAAAACCTTCATTTTTAAAAAGAGATGCTCAGTAATCTTTTTTACTAGATCCTAGTTACCTGACTCCCAGAGAATTTCTCTTTCTTTGCTACTTTAGATTATTTTCTTTCTACATAGTTTTCTCACATATGACTTCAAAAATATTCACTAAAGAAAGCTTTTTCTTTCTGCCCTACGTCCTCTGTATGAGCTAGTCAGAATAATCTGGAACCTGCCAATGAGGACTTATCATGTAATTCTCTTAACAAATGTTCAAATTAGGTGGTATCAGCTTCATTTTGTCATTAAAGAAACAGGTTTGGAGAAGTTAAGTCATTTGTCCAAACCTGGAGGTAGAGTCAGGTTCAAACTTAGGTCTAATTCCATACCCATTCTGTTTCCCCACACTGTCTTCCTAAGCTTCTGGTGTATTAGTCATTCTATTGTAATCTCTCGTTTCTCCATATGTTTATACATGGTTATAGAAAACAGTATAATAAATAACTTGGGTAACTTCCTTAGAGCAGCTCTTTCTCCTGCAGTTGAAATTAGTATCCGATAGGGTTTAAATTTATCAGTCAAACTTGGTAAGTGTTTCTTGCAATTGAAGTTTTTTTCTTTGGCCAGAGAAACATTTGATTTCAATAAGATAGCTGATTTAATAAGGTCATATTAAATGCAGTTTGAAGTTTACTGCATGCATTTGTATGAACCTTTAGACTATATTGCCTTTTAAAAAACTTCTATTAAGGGGAGAGTTACTCTTAAGTTTCTATAATAATTTTTTTTTTTTAAAGATTTTATTTATTTGACAGAGAGTGCAAGTAGGCAGAGGGAGAGGGAGAAGCAGCCTCTCTGCTGAGCAGGGAGCCCGACGTGGGGCTTGATCCTAGGACTCTGGGATCATGACCTGAGCTGAAGGCAGCTGCTTAACCAACTGAGCCACCCAGGTGCTCCTATAATAATGTTTAAGGGATGAAATATCATGAGTTACACATTCAGAAGTTCTTAAGTCACTTTGGCTCTAACCTTCTCTCCCCCATCTTTTAACTGGGTAATAGAAAATCAGATTTTTTTTCCAGAAACTTCAGTGTTTTAGGAGGTATGATAAAAGCTGAGGAGGCTTTGAGAAATGATTTTAAGATAGATTATTCCAGTAAAATACTATACCCTCTTACTGTACTTTTGAATGGTAATGATTCTCATAAGTTCAAAAATTAAAAATTTACCTAACTGTGGAGGTGCCTGGGTGGCACAGTTCATTAAGTGTCTCACTCTTGGTTTTGTCTCAGGTTGTGATCTCCGGGTCCTGAGATCAAGCCCCACCTCCTTGCCCCTCCCACTTGTCCTCTCTCTCTCTCTCAAACCCCCCCCCCCCGTTTTTTTTAATTACCTGTGAAATCTTGCTTCCAAATGTGTCTTTTCGACTGGTTTATATCCCTGCCACCTTAGATAACCAGTTTCTTATTTATCCTTCCACTGTTTGTTTATGCATATGTAAGAAAATGTGAACATATGTTTCCTGGCCCTTCTAAAATGAAAGATAAATGCTGTACAGTTTGTTCTAAGATAACTTGGACTTTAATTTTCCAGATATGGATCTAAATAGTTATTTCAGTTTGGGGTTCACATTTATTTTTAACATTTTCATGGGAGGCTTAAGTTCTTTAGGATAGGTATAGCAACACAGAATGTACTCTCCATATCAAAGATAATTAAAATAACAGCAAATTAATGATGACTTGATTCTTTTTCAGTTCATACCACGTTTCTTTCCTACTTGGTTTGAATGCTCTCTCTTGCTATATTAAAATTTTTCAGGGGTGCCTGGGTGACTCAGTCGGTTAAGCATCTACCTTCGGCTCAGGTCATGATCCCAGGGTCCTGGGATCGAGTTCCCCATCAGGTTCCTTGCTCAGCGGGGAGCCTGCTTCTCTCTCTGCTGATTCCCCTGCTTGTCCTCTCTCGCTCATGTGTGTGCTCTCTCTCTCAAATAAGTAAAATCTTAAAAAAAATTTTTCTTTTCATTT